CAGTCCATGGCGGCTTCAGCAAGCTCCCAAAATAAAGAATTGATAAATTCTCTGGAGGAAGAGAACTTCTTGGAATTACCAGAGGCAGAATACAAAAGATTAATATACAGAACTCTTCTAGAAATAAGAAAGGAAACTCGACAGAATGCAGGAACAGCCAGGGAACATACAGACACAGTAGTAGTGGAACTTATAAAAGTTATTTAAGAACATAATGCCAAATTTAATAGGCTGCAAGAATCCATAGAGAGAGTCTTCTTGGCTGTAATCTTTACGGAAGCAGACTGCCGTATTTTTCCATTGGAGCCGCCGGGTGGTTTCAAACTCCCAACCTTTCAGTCAGCAGCCGAGTGCTTAACCGCTTAACTGTTAAGGGTCAGGAAACGCTAGCTAATATCATTAGTATTAAAGATAGTAACAATTTAAAAAAAAAAAGAAAGAAAGAATAAAAAGAAACAAAACTCCTGACCTGCCCTTAAGCAACTGTATCTAATGAAGAGCTTTCAGCTACTGAAACAAAACAGGAGATGCCTGAAGTGCATGCCTAATCTCTGGAAGTTAATATGATAAAAGAGCAAATTACAGTTTCTCATTAAAAGGTCCCCTGTGACTAACAGAGACATATGGGCTAGATTCTTTTATTCAGTGTCAAAAAAGGACAATGATGTAAATGATGGCTGGGGATCGATAAAGATGTGTAAGCCAGGTAGAGCTTCCATAGGTTTAATAATTTTAGAAAACTATTTGCCAGGCTAACTCAAGAAGCTGAATAGATAACTATTTAATGGGCTTTATATCACAGGAATGATGAATTGCATTCACAAGAATTTCCTGCTGACTGCCCAAAGTGTCATCAATAGAAATTCTAACAAACTTAACTCTTTCTCTTTAAGCTCTGGCAAATCCAAGTACCAGTGCTCTTCGCTGATGATCTTCTTTTCTTCCTCTTCTAGCTGCTGCTTGGTTTCCGAGTCTAGTCCCCTTTGCATGAACTGCAAATACAAAACAAGTGTCAGTAACTAATTTTCCCAATCTAGAGTTGCAGAAAATTCAAACAACTTTATTCTTCTACCTGACCTCCCTCATTTTCCCAGGAGTTCCATCTCATGATTGACAGCAGGGGTGAATGATCAAACAGTCCAGCTCTCCCTTTGACAATGCCAAACTAGAATATGACAGAGCATGCCAGAGCACGCGTCTTAGTTACCTAGGCTGCTATAACAGAAACACCGCAAGTGGATGGCTTTAACAAAGAGAAATGCATTCTCTCACAGTCTAGGAATCTAGAAGTCCAAATTCAGGGTGCCAGCTCCAGGGGAAGGCTTTTTCTCTCTGTTGGCTCTGTGGGAAGGTCTTTGCCGTCAATCTTCCCCTGGTCTAGGAGATTCTCAGCATAGGGACCCTGGGTCCAAAGCATGTGCTCTGCTCCTGGTTCTACTTTCTTGGTGGTATGAGGTCCTCCTGCCTCTCTGCTCGCTTCTCTCTTTTATAGCTCAAAAGAGACTGACTCAAGATACAACCTAATCCTGTAGATTGAGTCCTGCCTCATTAACATAACTGCCTCTTATCCTGCCTCATTAACATCATAGAGGTTAGGATTTACAACATATAGGATAAGCACAACAGATCACAAAACGGTGGACAACCACACAATACTGGGAATCATGGCCTAGCCAAGGTGATACACATTTTTGGAGGATATGATTTAATCCATAAATTCCATCCTTGGCCCCCTCAAAATTTATGTCCTTGCCACCTGTAAAACAAATTCACGTATCATCTCAAAAGTCTTAAATCAACTCCAAGTCCGAAATCTCATCTTCTGCAAAATTCCTCTTCATCTGTGAAATCCAGAATACAAGTTATCTGCTTCTAACGTACAATGGTGGAACAGGTACAAGCTAGACATTTCGTTACAAATGGGAGAAACTGGAGGGAAAGAAGGGATAATAGGCACCAAGCAAGTCAGCAGTACACATTACATTAGCTCTCAAGGCTTGAAAATAAACCTATGTTCTCTGAGACCATTTAGGCAAGGGCCCTGCCCTCCAGACTTTGAGTGTTGGCCACACTCTCCTGATTCTGGGTGGAGGCCCCTCAGCCCTGGGCTTCAGCTCTGTCCTGCCTCATTAACATAACTGCCTCTTATCCTGCCTCATTAACATCATAGAGGCAGGATTTACAACACACAGGAAAATCACATCAGATGACAAAATGGCGGACAATCACACAATACTGGGAATCGTGGCCTAGCTAAATTGATACTCTTGTTTTGGGGGGACACAATTCAATCCATGCACTGGTATAGGGAAAAGGTATGTGGATAGACCTCTCTGAATGGGTCACAGAAGTGAAGATATTTTTGTCTCATGTGAATGCTCACCAAACAGTGACCTCAGCAGAGGAGGATTTTTACAGTCAAGTGAATAGGATGATGTGTTCTGTGGAAACCAGTCATCCCCTTTCCCCAGTCACTCCCATCATTGCTCAATGGGCTCATGAACAAAGTGGCCATGGTGGCAGGGACAGAGGTTATGCATAGGCTCAGCAACACGAACTTCCACCAAGCAAGGCTGAATTGGCTACAACCACTGTTGAGTGCCCAATCTGCCAGACCAACAGAGTCCCCAGTATGGCCCATTCCTTGAGATGATCAGCTAACAACCTGGTGGCAGGCTGATTATACTGGACTGCTTCCATCATGGAAAGGGCAGCATTTTGTTCTTACTGGAATAGGCACTTACTCTGGATATGGATTTGTCTTCCCTGCACGCAATGTTTCTGCCAAAACTATCATCCGTGGACTCACAGAATGCCTTATCGACCATCATGGTATCCCACACAGCATCGCCTTGGATCAAGAGACTCACTTCACAGCAAATGAAGTGCAGCAATGGGCCCATGCTCATGGAATTCACTGCTCTTACCATGTTCCCCATCATCCTGAAGCAGTTGGCTTGACAGAACAATGGAATGGCCTTCTAAAGACACAATTATGGCACCAGCTAGGTGGCAATACCTTGCAGGGCTGGGGTAATGTTCTCCAGGAGGCTGTATATGCTCTAATCCAGCATGCACTATATGGTGCTGTTTCTCCCATGGCCAGGATTCATGGATCCAGGAATCAAGGGGTGGAAATGGGAGTGGCACCACTCACTATTAACCCTAGTGACCCACTTGCAAGATTTTTGCTTCCTGTCCTTGTGACACTATGCTCTGTGGGTCTAGTGGTCTTAGTTACAAAGGGACGAATGCTCTCACCTGGAGATACATCACTGATATCATTGAACTGGCAGTTAAGAATGCCACCTGGCCACTTTGTGCTCCTTATGCCTCATATCAACAGGCAAAGAAAGGAGTTACCATACTGGCTGGTGTGACTGACCCTGATTACCAAAAGGAAATCGCAGTGATATTAAATAATGGACGTAAAGAAGAGTATGCCTGGAATGCAGGAGATCCCTCAGGATGTCTCTTAGTACTACCATACCCTGAGACTAAAGTCAATGGAAAACTATAGCAACTCAATTCTGACATGACTACTAATGGCCCAGACCCTTCAGGAATGAACGTCTGGGTCACCCCACCAGGCAAAGAACCATGACCAGCTGAGATGCTTGCCGAGGACAAAGGGAATATGGAATCAGGGGTGGAAGAAGGTAGTTCTAATACCAGTTACAACTACATGACCAGTGGCAGAAATGGGGACTGTAATTGTTACGGGTATTTCTTCCTTGTATGTGTGCATCAAATATTTTTGTTTTCATCATTTATAAAATATAAGATGTAAACAAGGCTAGTGCATTTTTGGTTGTACGTGTGTTAGTTGTATCATGTTAGGTGCAAGTATGACTTTATAATTGTCTTTATTCAGAGATTATGTATGGTTTAAGGAGATGTGTACAGGTGCAAGTCGACAAGAGGTGGACTGTGATTGTTAAGGTTGTCTGTCAACTTGCCTGGGCTATGATTCTCAGTGGTTTGGCAGTTATGATGCAGTTTGGCAGTTGTATAATGATGTAATCACCACCATGACGAGCTCTGATATGTGATCACCTCCATGATGGGATCTGCTGTAAGTAGCCAATCAGTTGAAAGGGAGTTTCCTTGGGGGTGTGGCCTGCATCCAATATAAGTGGACTCTCTGGCAAGGCTCATGGGCTTTTTGCTTGCTCTGGATCCTGCACCCGGCTCCTGTTCATCTGACCTCCGATTCTTGGGACTTGAGGTAGCAGCTTGCCTGCCGATCTTGGGATTCGCCAGCCTCCATGGTCTGGATCTTGGGTTCGCCAGCCCCTGTAGCTATGTGAGTCAGGAGAAGCCTCTAGCCTGACCCATGGACCTGGGACTTTCTAGCCTCTACAACCACATGAGCCATTTCCTTGATATAAATCTCTCTCTCTATATACATATATATACACATATATATGGACATTTCACTGGTTTTACTTCTCTAGAGAGCCCAGCCTAAGACAGTACATGATAAGGCAAAATGTCTACCTTTTTTCAAAAACTTTAAAAGTCCTTAACAGATTTTAGTTTTTTTCTAATTTAATGAAACAGGCAACATAAAACTATTCAATAAATATAGTGAAACCTGTGAGAGTTGGAACTCGGCGGGACTGCCTTTTTTGTCAGGGTTCACAAGTTTTCACAAGTTTTCTGCCTTTGATAGGGTGCAGTCTTACCATTTTTCTATCACTCGTTTCAGTGGAAAATATTTGAGTTTTCCTTCACTGATACAATTCCGCCTTACACAGGTTCTGGTTTTCACAGGTTTTACTGTATCACACTATTTTAATTTTACATAATGGCCTGTGAAGAAGGACTAAGACTAAAGACTGATGAGCTGAGGAAGAAAAGAAAATGGTAGGAAAGGCAGGAAGACCGCCTGGGAGAAAGACAAAGTGAGCGGTGGCAGAAACCAGGTCGTGAAAAAGGTGAAAGTGGATAGAGCAACTCAGTGCTTGCTGAATCTCTTGCTGAGCCCTGGAGCCCACTGGCCTTTGCACTTGCTCATGCTGGTCTGGAAGCTCCTTCTTGGCCCCTTCCGCCTGGCGAGCTAGCCCTTCTGACACAGATACAGGAAGCTGTGAAGCTGGCCCTGACAGCTGAAGCAAATCAGTGCTCTCTCCTCAATGCTCCCACGGCACCCTCAAACAGTCTCACTACCTTCTCACTTCTTGAGCAACTGTCTCTGCTGGAGACCTTTAGGGGAGGGATTGTGTCTCCTCATTTCCATCCCCAGCTCCAGTAACATGAATGATACATAACCCTATTGCCGTGGAGTCAATTCCAACTCATACTGACCCTACAGGACAGAGCAGAACTGCCACAGTGTCTCCAAGGCTGTAAATCTTTTGGGGAGCAGACTGCCACATCCTTCTCCTGCAGAGTGGCTGGCAGGTTCAAACCACAGACCTTTCAGTTAGCAGCCAAGCGCTTAACCACTGTGCCACCAGGGCTCCTGACTGATATATAGTAAGAGCTTTATAAGTATGAACTGAGAAAAGGCTACCTGCTGGTCTGTTCTTCACTATCCTCTGAAATGCTGATGTACTCTTCTGCTGCTTTGTCTTCTCAAATCTGCAGTAGCTCAACTCAAAATATGTCAGAGGAAAAAAGCACAGTCCTGCTGCTAGTCTCTCCATAGCACAGACAACAGCTCTATGCCCTCAGGGGACAGGCGAGCAAACCAAAGGTTAATCACAGCAAAATGATAATGTATCAGTATTGGAAAAAATAAAGGCAGAAACTACCCAGGAGTCTCCCAGCAGTTAGGTCTGGAGTTCCACTGGGCTTCCATATATCCCCATTTCTTTCTCTTCTCTAGACTCCTCCCTCCACTCCAGCTTTCCCAAAGGGAAACACAAGACATTTTAGGCATAAGAGCTTTTCCACTGATTACTAAGGGATATGGCAGAAGTTGAAAAACTTAAAAAAGTTAACAGATAAAATGTAGTGATATGCCAAATGTCAGTGAGGATGTGGAGAAACTCAATCATTCCTATGATGCCGGTGAGACTGTAAAATGGCCTAGTCGCTCTGGAGGACAGCTTGGCGTTCTGATAAAACTAAACACGCAACCGCCACACGACCCAGCCATTGCCCTTTTGGGTATTTATTGCAGACAAATGAAAACTTACACTCACACAGACACTTGTAAATGAATGTTTCTAGCAGCTCTAATTGTAACAGCCCAAAACTAGAAACAACCCAAACGTCCTTAACAGGTGAACAGTTAAACAAACTGGTACATCCATAAGATATCCATACTACAAATACTACATAGTCATGAAAAGGAATAAACTACTGACACACTCAACAAAGCGAGTGGATCTCCAGGGAACTATGCCGAGTGAAAATAGCCAATTTGAAAAGGTTACATACTGTATGATTCCATTTATATAACATTCTTGAAATGACTAAATTATAGAGAACAAATTAGTGGTTGTTTGGGATTAGGGACTGTGAGGGAAGGAGGGTGGGAGATCTTGGTGATGATTGAACGTGGTGAATGTGGCAGTGGTTACACAAATCTACACGTGATAAAATACACACAAAAATGAGTACACGAAAAACCGGTGAGATCTGAGTAGGCTCTGTGGATTGTACCTGGTTTCAATACAGTACTATAGTTATGAAAGATTTTAACACTGGGAGGCTGGATGAAGGGTACAGAAGACCTCCCTGTGCATTTTTTTTTTTTTTTTTGCAACTTCTGTGAATCTATCATTATTTTAAAAACGAAAAAAGTCTGCAAAATATCTACATTGTTTTGTAGTCCTTATCCACCTTACCTCTGTGTCTATATCCTTACCACAGGAAAAGAACTTGCAGTTTATAGAATGCAAACCTGGAACTTCCGAGTCCTTTTGTCTTTGCTACTCATCTTTTTTCCATTCTCTGGCTGGCAAAAGAGTCACTCTTCAAGGCCCAGAGCCCATGTCCTCTGTTGAGTCTGCCCTGACTGACCTTTGACTAGGTATAAGCATGTCTCCCTGCTTTTAATATAGCGCTAGAAACAGTGGCTTCCTCATCTTCTATGTTTCCCAAAAGACTGAGAATCTAAACAGCAGATCATGTCTCTTAGTCATCTTGTATTATTGGTACTTAGACAGCAGCTGGTATGCTAAAAGAGTTCAATAAAGGTTCTCAGAATGTAAATGAGGCTAGACTTGTCTTATTTTCCCAGACTCCCTTCTTTGGGTGGTTATTCTATAAACAGAGATGCCTCATTTCATTACTCTTATTCCTGGTGATGAAACTCATCAATTCTGCCCAACCGCTTTTTTATGTCCTATTTTTGGAAACCCTGGTGGCATAGTGGTTAAGAGCTATGGCTGTTAACCAAAAGGTTGGCAGTTCAAATCCACTAGGAAGGTGCTCCTTGGAAACCGTATGGGGCAGTTCTGCTCTGTCCTATAGGGTCACTATGAGTAGCTATGGTATAAATAATAGCCATATATTCAACAACAACAAAAAAATAAATTACAAAATAAAAAATAGCCATATATACATTCTTTACATACGGACAGGATAGAAAACCTGTTACTATGAATCAAACAACTCCAGACTTAAGCAGTAATTCAATTCTCTTGACTCTATAGCATCTAAGAACACACTCTATTACAAGCTAGTGATACAGTCTCTCTCCTTCAAAACTGAGGGCCTAAAGCAAGCATCAGCAAAGTACAGTCCTTGGGCAGCCATCTGTTTTTGCAAATAAAGTTTTACTGGAAAATAGTCACACTCATTTGGTCGTGAGTTACAAAATTGTGGCAGACAGTATGGCTCACAAGCCTAAAATATTTACTATCTAGCCTTTTACAAAGGAACACTCGTGGCACAGTGGTTAAGTGCTCGGCAGATAACAAAAAGGTCAGCAGTTCAAACCCACCAGCTGATCCATACCAGTCTGCTTCTGCGAAGATTACAGCTTTGGAAACCCTACGGGGCAGTTCGACTGTCCCATAGGGTCACTATGAGTTGGAATTGACTCGATGGCAATGGGGTAAGCCTTTTACAGAAAAAAATCCACCAATCCTTGCCTTAAGAGTTCAAATAAGCTAAAATCAGAAAGCAGGTGCCCTCTCTATTACCTTCTGCCCACATATTTCCCATTAGGATCACCCCCTGTGGTACAGTGAACTACTTAATATGGCCCTTGCAGCCATGCATGGTCTTGTAATGACCACCGAATGACTGGGTGGGACTATGCAAATAAGGTGCATGGTACTCTTGTGGGAGTGGGACCATACAAATAAGTTGTATGCAACCCTAATGAGGGGACTGGTCTGTTTTGCCATCCTGCTAGGCTTAAAAGACAGCCAATCCCACAGCAGAGAGGGAACCTCACTACCACCAAGAAGAGCTGGGAGTGGTGAATGCCCTTTGGACCCAGGGTTCTTGCACTGAGAACTTCCTAGACCCAGGAGACAGAGAGGGACAGAAAGCTGTAATACCGGAGACAGTGTGAGATGGCAAGAAGCAGTGGCAGAGAAATGGCGGCAGGAGACTGGCATGAGATGGCATGGTAGGCTAAAGCCCACAGAGCAAGGCAGCTACGGTGGTTGTGCTGACTCATGGAGTGAGGAAGCCGGGCGCCTTTGGGCAGGATGCTTCCTGGTGGAGTGGGGTCAGCAGAGCTAGGCTTACCAACCCACGGAGCTAGAGAGCTGAGTGTCTTCAGGCAGGAGATTTCCTGACAGAGTGGGGTGCTTCTGGGAACTTATTAGCAGCGCTAAAGAGCTTTATAACACCTGACTGAGAAGGGAAGAGATCAGGCCCAGAGGCTGAGGGAGAGGCCTACCTGCAAGCATAGCTGAGAAGCTGTCCTGACCAAAGGACAGCCTGAGTTGTTCCTGATCCTGAATTGTAACCTGTTACTTCCCTAATAAACCCCATAACTGTGAGTTCTGTGTGACCGCTGCAATGAATTATCAAGCAGAAAGCAGAGTGCTGTGGGAGGGATAGCTGGTGTCAGAATTGGTAAAAAGGTTGAACGGTGGAGGTATGTATGATCTCCATCTCACAGCAATCAGCATTGGGCTATCAATGTTGACAACGATTCTCCTCTCCCCTTGTGAAGTTAGACTAGGAGGTCCAACGCCCTGCACCATTTTTACATTCCCAGTCGCCAAAAGCTGACCAAGTCAGAGGAGTTCAGGTACATCTAAAAACAAATGAGTAAGTATTAACTCCTCAACCCTCTCATCTTTGCTCCATACTTAGCTTTGGCTGAACTTTGGATCCTAGGTCTATAGCTGCTCCATTTATTCTCACAGGATACTCTATGTAAAGTATCTCCTGCAATCCTGTCAGTAAATTGCTTTTTATCAATAATCAAAACTGCTAATCCAATTGAAAACCTGGGTAATTTCCCCCCCTTTCCTTTGCTTCCAATGTTCAGTTAAGTCTCCAACCCCAACCATTTGGGTGGGAATGGATAATTTTTTCTTAAAATAATTTCTTCCTTTCTAACTTCAGGGTCCTATCTTTGATCTGAGCCCTAATTACCTAGCACATATTCATTTGGCCTATTCTAAGAACTAAAACAAATGCTAAAATGTTTTCAATCTTTGCTCTCAATGCATTCAACTTCTCTGAAATCTTGTTGTTGTTAGTTGCCATCGAGTTGATTCCGACTCATGGTGACCCCATGTGTGCACAGTAGAACTGCTCCATAGGGTTTTCAAGACTGTGACCTTTTGGAAGCAGATCACCAGGCTTGTCTTCACAAGTGCCTCTGGGTGAGTTCGAACTGCCAACCTTTCAATTAGTAGCTGAGTGCTTAACGATTTGAGACATGCAGGTACCCATCTATTAATAAGTAGTGTTTAGTAACAAGATATCAATAAGCAGTATTCAGTGATAAGAAGTTCACTGACTTAAACAGGGGTTCTGGAGCCAGACTGCCCGAGTTTGTGTCCTGTGTACACTACTTATTAGCTATGCAACTTTGGGGAAGTTACTTACTTCTATGTTTCATTTGCCTCAGCTGTAAACGAGGGATAATGACAACTTTACCATCTCAATGGGTTATTATGAGGATTAAATGGGTTTATAAAAAGCACTTAGGATAGTGTCTGGCACATAGTAAGGAATATAAATGCTCACTATTATTATTTTTTAAGTCCTAGTTGTCTTCCCTATCTTGATTTCTGTATACATTTTATCTACCCTTGCTGTTTTTTCCACTTTGAAATTCTTGGGTTAAGATGCATGCCTTTCCCTCCGCTTAGGACCCTATGCTCACCACCGTCTGCTTACCCCTTCAGTTTCTCTACTTAAGGGCCACTTCCCGCAAGAAGCCCAAGAAAGTTCCCCGGCTTCGGATGTTTCCACCGTCACTACCCTTAGCACGCTGTATTCTGGTTGTTTAAGCGTCTGCCTCTGGTATCTGACCGAGTGCTTCATCAGTCTGCCTCATTCACAACCTGGTTTCCGGCGCCTAACACGGAGCTGGCGCTCAGCGAATGAATGAACGCGAGAGCTGGGGGTCCTCCGAGGCCTCGCCTGCACCGCTTGTACGCTCGCCGCCTCAGCCCCAGCCAGGCCCGGAGGACTAGGTGCCCCTACAGCCCAGCCCGCCCCGAGTCCCCGCACCTTCATGCGCAGCAGATTCTTGGACAACTTGGTCTTGTGTTCGGCCGCCATGCTGGCTCCCTCCCGGCGCCGGGCTCCGTGCTGCTGCGTGCGTGGCAGCGTCTTACGTAATGCGGCGACACCCGCCCCATGGCTCCGCCCCGTTTCTCGCCTTCCGGCGCAGTCCGGGTCTTTGCTAGTCTTTTTGTGGAGCGCTCATCTCCTGAAGAAGCTGTGTTGGCGGACGACGAGGGAGTGAGAGCGGGTTAAATCTCGTGGGGAGACGCCAAAGTGCCCGAAATCGGAGGAGGCCCGAGAGAGCCTGGCTTGCCGCTGAGGTTCCTACACGCGGGTGAAGGGTGCGTTCCTCAGGGTCCCAGGGCTGCCTGCCTCAGGGACTCCTCACTGCCCTACGTCCTGGACCGTTGTTTATTTAACACGGATCGTAGGCTTACTATGTTCTGGACCGCTTTCCGTCTAATAGTTCATATTACGTTCACACTAACCCCGTGCGGTGGATGTCATCATCCCCGTGTTGCAGTTGGGTAAACTGAGGTGTCGGGAAGATCATTAAATAGTCTGAAGTCACTGAGTGAGGGAGGTGGGTGTACACCAAGGCAGTCTGGTTTCAGAATGGCTCTTAACCACTATGCAAAGAAGATGAAAAACAATGTTATTCGCCTATTAACTGTTGTCGTTCTACTTAAGCTTACTCTTTGCTAAAGAGCAATAACAAGAGATAGGGAAGATGATAGATGTTAGACTTATGAGCACAAGAAGACTGGTTTTCATCTAAAGAATCGTAACAACATTGAAAAGGGATAGTTACAATGTGAAAGAGCCCAGTGGTGGAAAGGTTAACCGCTTGGCTGCTGACCTTTTGCTAACCTAAAGGATGGTGATTCGAACCCACCCACCTGCTCTGTGGAGGAAAGGCCTGGCAGACTGCTTCCGTAAAGATCACAGACTAGGGAACTCTATGGGGCAGTTTTATTCTGTCCTGTAAGGCCGCTATGAGTTGAAATTAACTGGGCACTTAAAAACAACAGTTATAACGCTCTTATTTAATCCTCTGTGTACCACCTAAAGGCATTTTTCACACTATTGACAGGTCCCACACTTTGGAAAACATCACCCAACCTAATAGCATTTCAGCAAATAGCATGCACTATATGCCGTACTCTTGTGTTGGGTACTTTTTGTGTGTGTGTGTGTGTTGGATCCTCAAGAACTCTGAAGAAGATATTATCATCATGATATAGTTAGGGAACCTGAGGCCCACAGAGGTTAAGGGATTTGCCCAAGGCCACACAGCTAAGAAGTGTTAGAGCTGAGATTTAAATAGTTTTTTGAATGTAGTTGATAAAAATATGGCTCTGACTTGCAGGTTCCCTAAGTGGAGTAAGTAAACTCAATCTAATTTGGTAAGTGGATACCAAACCGCATTCATTCATAACAGTGTGTCAGACATTGTGCTGATCTCTGAGGTACAATAGTGAGTAAAAGCACATGACCTCTCTTTCCTGGAGCTGACATTCTGGATGTTAATAAGTGGTGACTGCCATGGAATAGGGTGCTGTGATTGAGTGACTTTTAGGGTTACTTTAGATGAGCTCATCTGGGATGGTCCTTGTCAAATGTTAGTGCTAAGGCTTGACAGTTAAGAAAAAAAAAAAAAGGTGTATGAAGAGTTGGAGATAGAGTGTTCTAAAAAGAGAGACTAGGAACTGCAAGGTCCTGAAATGAGAACAAGACAGTTCCCGTTGTCATGGAGTTTATCGAGTTTGAACAACAGAGGTCAATCTCATAATTAGCTATAGATTACAATTGTGATAAGAGCCTTATAAGAAAGGTTTGGGGTGCAGTGTGAGGGTATAGCAAGGGCACCTAATCATTCTGGCCTGGGAAAGGGAAGGACTCCCCTAAAGAATGACGTTTAAGCTGAGATCTGAAAGGAGATGAATTAGCCTAGGGAAAGGCCTTTCAATCCTGAATAATTGTGTGTAAGAAGGCCCTGAGGACAAACCAAAATTAAACCAATTGCCTTTCTTTGAGTTGATTTGGACTCATGGCAACCCTGTGTGTTGCAGAGTAGAACTGTGCTTCATAAGGTTTTCAAGGCTGTGACCTCTTGGATGCACATCACTAGGCCTGCCTTCTCAGGCACCTCTGGGTGGCTTTGAACCGCTAATCTTTCAGCTACAGCCTGCTTAACAATTTGCACCACCCAGGGACTCCTGCTCTGAGGCCAGGAGGGGCTTATTCAGCCCACGGAATAGAGAAGAGTGTTTGTCTGGAGTGGAGAGATGGAAAGGGCACTCCACAGAACGCGGGACTGGAGAGAAAGGCTGGGGCTGGATCAGGCAGGGCCTTGTAGGTTCTCTTCAGGATTTTGAAGGAAGTGCTATGGAAGCAGAAGTAAAGAAGTAACTCAGTCTGCAGTCTGCATCCAGAAAACTAAGGTGACTGTGAACTTGTTTTTGAAGGATGAGCATATGTCTTGTCACCTCCTAAAGAGGAAAATGGCGTTCCCAACAGAAGAACATGCATGAAACAGCTAAGGATGCTAGAAGCTCCACACCCTCCCTATGGACCTCTGTTGTTACCAGTCTGCCTGCACACTAGATTCTGATTCATTTTCCTGAAACATTGATTTTATCATATCACTCACTTGCTCCAGAACTTATAATAGCTCATTTTTGCCTGAGGGATAAAGGTCAAACTCTTCAACCTGCCATTCAAATTTATACATTTTATATGACAGTGAAAATACTTATGTTAAAACTAAGCTCCAAAGTCTCTGTTCACTCATGAAAATGTAATAAGTAAGAAATGACTTAAGAGTAATAGTGTAATAGCCTTTAAATTAAATTCCCTGACAGAGAAGATAACTCCTTGATCTCTGTGTTACTGAATTATAGAACAGAAAGGATAGGTGTCACACTCAATAATGTGTTAACTTGCTTCAGTTATACGGCCAAGGGAAAAAATATTTCTAATAGGTCTTCACACAATTCTGAGTCCTTTCATAATGGAAGTTGTTGGAAGTGTGAAAGCCTCCAATACCTGCCGTCTATTGAATCCCTCAAGGAAAGGTTTCCCAAGTCTCTTCAGTCTTGGAGTAGATCATATTTAAGACTGCTGCCCAGTGCAGTAGCCACTAGCCAAGTGTGGATATTAAGCACTTGAAATGGGACTGAGGAACTGAATTTTAAATTTTTGTTAATTTAAAATTTTAAAACAGTATAAAATATTTTTCTGTTATACATAGCTTTATTATTTTGGAAGGACTTTTTTTTCACTTTAACTGTTGAAAATTTAGCATCCAAATTGAGATGTACTGTAAGGTGTAAAATACACACTAGGTATGAAAGACTAAGAATGAAAAATAAAATGTAAACTCTAATATTTTTTCATATCGTTTATATGTTGAATTACAATAGTTTGGATATGTTGGTTTAAATAAAACAGTATTAAAATTAATTTCACCTGTTTCTTTTTACTTTTTTTTTTTTTTTTTAATGTGGCTGCTAGAAAATTTCAAATCACATGTGGGGCTCGCACTTTTTTTTTTTTTTGACAGGATTAATTTAATGCCTTCCCAGTGCAGAGAGTAGAGTAGGAAAGGAGTCTGGGATGGGGAGAGGAAGGAACTCTTTTATGCAATGAGACCATAAAGGTGGTATATTAGGTATTACTTCTTGTTTTCCTTTCAAGTACCAGAAACCAACAGTGGCTTATTAAATAAAAAAAAAGAATTTATTAGAAAAATAAATAAAAATCAAGTCCCTCATGAATTGATGAGAAGGCCTGAGAACAAGGCCAAGTTGAGAGGTTGTGGGTTCGAGTCCACCCAGAGGTACCTCAGAAGAAAAGCCTGGCAATCTATATGGGGTCACCATGAGTTGGAATGGACTAAATGATAACTGGTAACCTTAACCATTTGCCATCAAGTCAACTCTGGCTCATGGCAACTCCATGTATGTCAAAATAGAACTGTGCTCCACGGGGGTTTTCAATGGCTGATTTTTCGGATGTAGATCTCCAACCTTTCTTCCAAGGCGCCTCTGGGTGGACGCCAACCTTTCATTTAGCAGCTTAACATATTAACTGTTTCTACCACCCAAGGACTCTTCTCTGCTTAAATTTTCTAAGTCCAGGAGAGAGTTGAGTCTTAGCTAAGGGAGGGCAAGATCAGATTTATAGTATGAGCAGGATTGCACACAGTGGGGGAAAGGTGATTCCTTAAAGAGAAGTTGGGTGCTGTTACTCAAAGAAGAGAGAATCATAATAGTCAAAACAGCAACACCAATGATAAATTTTTACTTAAGGCGGGAAGGAGGAGAGTTCTGTTGAGACAGCCCTAGAGTACAAGTAATTAGAATACATGTCTAATATCAAATCTATCTTCTCAGAAAATGTGCTCCCTCTTCCTTCCCTCTTTCACTCATTAGGCAAGTATTTATTGGCTGCCTGTTATACGAAGATTGTGACTCCAGGTCATCCAGCCCAAAAATCTAAGTAGTGTAATACATTCCTTCTGCTCTTGTATTCAGTTATTTATCAAGTCCTATCAATTACTTGTTCTTGGATATCTTGGTTAAATCAGAACATTAGTGCTGGAAGTTGCCATACAGGACATTCAGATAAGTAATTTTCAAGCATCAGCCAGCAGTTAGAATGACCAAGGGAAATTAAAACATCAAAAATGAACAAATTCCTGATTCTCTCCCTTGATGAGTCTGGTGACCAGCCAAGACCTGGAAACCACTGAGCTAGATGAGCCTCCTAGTTATATATACCAAATTGAGTCAGCTCCGTCAGAATTCAGGTTAACTTCCCATTCAGCTTTCTTTTTCACTGTGTCCCATTCATTCCTTCTTTTCCATAGCCAGAAGCCTATCCCTGAATTTATGGCTAAATTTTATTACTTTATGGCTGCCATAGACTCCTATTTTCCCTGCCTCTTGCCTTTTTCTTTTTTTTTTGAGTTTAGATATTTTTGAGCACCTCTTATGCTCCTGGCACTTTGCTCAGTGCTGGAGAAACTGCCTCTCTATGGACAAGTATACAGGCCCTAAGTGCTGTCATAGGGATGAACTCTGGCAGGG